ATGCTAGACAACTTCCATATTCCAACATGACATGGCACTGGCAGGTCAAAAAATAGAAGCAAGCTTGGTGACCCCACTGCATTCCCAACAGCTGGCTCCAAAACCTTCTCCTCAGAGTCCACCTGAAACACGATGGCTATCTCGGAAAGCACTCAAACCATACATCCAACTCTGCCAAACCAATTGTGACCAAACTGGATGAAATCGAGACCAAAGCAGAAACCAACATTATCTTTTTCTGACTGGTTCCCGGTTTGTGGAACCAAGGCATGGGCTGTATTCTTAGGAACTGCAAAAGAAATGATTCTCATGTGAAAAGTGATGACATAGCCCTTTGAAGACACATTCAACTCCAAAACCCATCACCCCTACCCTGTGGAACCAGGGCCCCAGCTCCAGTCTCCTGAGGATCGTTTGGAGCTGCCTGAAACGGTTGACCCCACTACAGTTCCAAGCACTTGATCATATTGGCCCTTTCATCTCAATGCTAGACAACTTCCATACTCCGACATGACATGGCACTGGCAGGATAGAAGCAAAAGCAAACTTGGTGCCCCCACTGCATGCACAACTGCTGGCTCCAAAACCTTCTCCTCAGAGTCCACCTGAAATTCAAAGGGCTATCTCGGAAAGCACTCAAACCAACAGTTATATATATATATATCACATCCAACTCTGCCAAACCAATTGTGACCAAACTGGATGAAATCGAGACCACAGCAGAAACGAAAGACTGTTTCTTCTTTGATTCATCGCTGCTTCCGGTTTGGGATTGCATACCTTAAGGTATACATCTGAATCTAAACAGTTCTAGCAAGAACTCCAACAACACACCGCCAAGCCCTCAGGAAGGTGTAAAGCTGAAGATGCAGATCGAATTTGGATGCAATCAAGGCAAATCAAGACAGCTTGATCTGTTGCTTTTCAAACTCTCCAACCTTGCTGGATGGATAGTAGTCTGGACACCCGTATTTCAGCTGCAACTCACAATCTGAAAATCGCGATGGAATAAATGTTTCCTTCGCTGTGCCCACAAAATTGACACTCCGAGCCCGCTTGCATGGCCGTGTTGTTGCTGTAGTGCATTGCTTCTCCTTCAAGATCGACGGTAGAGCTTCCAGCTTGTAATGCTGCGGCTCGCCCTTGAACACATAATCGAAACCGTCCAGCTTTGCTCGAAGACAGGCATCGGGGTCGCAACGTGGCATGGCTTCTATTGGTGCTATGGTATATGGAATATTATGGTATCATGTAGAGGCACAATGACGAATCCCAGCATGCTTGAATAATATATATAAAGATGTGATGGTGTGTGCATGTGTGACTGTGCCCATGTCAGTGGTCCAGGAAAGCCATCCAAACCAAAATTCTTGAGATTAAAGCGGCATTGATTTAAAAACGGACATGCAGAAAAACGAAAGCCCTGTCCTCAGATGTGTCGGTGAACAGAAAGGAATCCGTACCAATTGGCTCCCGGTTTATGGAACCAAGGCATGGGCTGTATTCTTAGGCGTAGGTCTCAAACGTTCCTCTTCTGAAACCAACTGCAAGAGAAATGATTCTCATGTGAAAAGTGATGACATAGCCCTTTGAGGACACATCCAAATCCAAGACCTTTCACCCCTACTCTGTGGAACCAGGGCCTCAGCTCCAGTCTCGGGAGGATCTTCTGGAGCTGCCTGAATCGGTTCATCTTAACGATAGAAGTTTGGAAAACACGCATACTTCTTCCAACATGACATGGCACTGGTTGGGTGTGTGAAAGAATACTTTTATACCCGTTCAAAATTCTTGAAGCCAAGGCTTCAAGGCCTCCACTGCATTCTCAACTGCTGTCTCCAAAGCCTTCTCCTCAAAGGCCACCTGACACATGATGGCTTTCTCCAAAAGCATTCAACCAACCAACAGTCGCATATATACATATATATATTTTTTTTTTTCAACCCGGAAAACTTATATATATAAAGCAAAATCAACTCAGTCCAACTGATTCCTCCTTTCAAGACACGTCCAGTTCCAAAACCTTTCAACCCTACTGTGTGGAACCAGGGCCCCAGCTCCAGTCTCTTGAGGATCGTTTGGAGCTGCCTGAAACGGTTCATCGGCTCTATCATCTTTATGCTAGACAACTTCCATATTCCAACATGACATGGCACTGGCAGGTCAAAAAA